AAGGAGGAGGGCTGGGTGAGGGCACTGGAATGTTCCTACCGATAAATTAGCAAGGAGCCATCTGGGGCTCAGACTTGGGCCTTTTCATTTTATAGTGAGATGGGGGTGGGCTGAGGAGGGTTATGGAATCCTTTTGTGGGTACAGAGCTTATTCCATCATTACCAACTTTGGACCTTGGGCAAGGTCCTTAACCTTGATGTGCCTCAGTTTTCTCATTTGTAAACGTGGAATAATACTGGTACGAACCTCACAGGACTGTCATGTTCTGGGTCCACATTTTACCACCACAGTCAACCAGGCCCTTGTACTTACTGGACCCCAGGACCTCTTGGAGGCCATGCCTTTCTACCCTGGGCTGTGTGATCTCTTCCCCATCACTGCCTTTTCTCCAGGCCCCCAACCCCCCATCTCACAGAACACCAATGAGTGAAATTATCTTTGCTGTTCTCCAATGGCTTCCCATCCCTGAGTTCATTTCTCTGAACAAAGAGAGAAACCTGACTGCCGTTTTGCCTCCTAGACTGCCTCGCCCAGCCACACCCCCCGATTGTTGTCAACTCCTAGTGCCCTTGGCAGCAGCTCACTTGCAGGGAGCCCCCTCCTCCTCGAAATGCCCTTGTCCTCAGCGTCCATGAAACTGCTCATCGGGATTCTTCCCTGCCTGCTCCTGCCCTCTTTTAACAGCTTTTCTTCCTTCTACAGAGACCTCAACCCTTCCAGGACTTCAGTCCCCGCCATGCATCAAAGGTTCCCTGTTTCCCAGCCAAAATCTCGCCCCAGAGCCTGAGACACACACATCTAACTGTCTAGGCAACACCCTTTGATAAACAGTAATACCTTGGACTTGAGGGGCATTAGGAAGATTTAATACAAGGCATGCAGAGTTCCCGGCATACTACCTGGCCTAGTAGATGTTTGGCAAATGGTAGGTATTATTATTATTATTTGCAATTTTGATTTTAAAATTAGCACCATTTTAATAGGCAGAAATACTAATTTGAAAAGCATGGACAAAACTCTCTCCCAGGGGGACTTCCCTGGCGGGCCAGTGGTTAAGACTTCGCCTTCCATTGCAGGGGGTGCGGGTTCGATCCCTGGTCGGGGAGCCAAGATCCTACATGCAACACGGCCAAAAAAACCAAAACATAAAACAGAAGCAATATTGTAACAAATCCAATAAAGACTTGAAAAAATGGTCCACATCAAAAAAAAAAAAAAAATCTTAAAAAACACCCCCAAAACTCTCTCCCAGGGATTGAAGAGAGGATTGAAGTTCTTTCTTCAACCTCTGGGGTTAGTGGGTTGGAAACCCCACACCAGTCACTGCAGGCCAGCCATTCTAGGAACCAGTTCCTAAATTCCATCTCCAAGTCACCTAATTAATTAATTAGCGTTCCAGTGATTACTCCTGTTGACAACCTTGGTGGCTCTTGGCAAGGTTGGGTCAGCCCAAGCAGGTCCAGACTTATTGTGGCAAATCACATTGGCTTCTGGGATGTGAGACATGATCCCCACATGGCAGAAGCAGCACCTCGTTAGAGAGAATTAATTGGGAGGAAGAATGGGGGAACGAGGTCCTCTCAGCCAAACACCCCATTATGCACAGGCCCGCCTGCATCCTGTTGGGGTTGATGCAGGTGAGGAGGGGGCTCTGAAGATCACGTCCCTACCTTCCTTTCCCAGAGAACAGACTTATTATAAAATGACTATATTCTTTCCCACTAGAGGAGGCTTGGGTTGCAATGAGAAGGATTTTGGTTAGACACCCAGAAGAACTAACTTCCATGCCTATTTGTGGCAGACATGGGGGAAGGGAGAAGCCTGGACGTTGACTCACTTAGGCCAGGGCTGCTCACTTAGAACACCTCTCTGCAGCCAGAGCTGGAGGCCCGAGTGGGGGGACTGTGGCCATTTCTCCATTATTTGCCCCAAAGGAACACCCGCCCTTAGACCCATAGCACTCCTAGACTCTTCCCCACCACAGGGAGGCCCCAGCTTCCTCCTCTCTACACTGTCTCAGGGTAGGTGAAGAGAAAAGAGTGAGAAGAGAAAATCCTACAGAACAAGCAGATGCAACATCTCCTGGGAGCTCTGGACTGGGAGTGAGCCTCTGGGGTGTCCTTCCATATTTGCACATGGCTTCTGTGACTTTGGGCCGGGCCCTTGGCTGCTCTGGGTCTCCATTTGCCCCAGCAGAGCCGGGAGGGTGGTAAACTGGATGACCTTGAAAATCCTCCCAGTGGGACAGGCTCATGGAGTTTCTCTGCCCTGGCTCCCTCTCCTGTGCAGGCAGGTAGAGCTATGGGAGCTACTTGAAGCTTCTGAACACAGTGGTGCCTGCAAGCACCTGGGGCACTCTGACTCTTGCCCAGAACTGCAGACTCAGCCCAGCTGTTACAAAGAGATGCCGTCAGTGGCTTTGGGGAGTGGCGGGCCCAGGCCTTCCAGATAGGGATGCCAGGACCGCCGAGAAGTGCCCGCCCTCTCATCTTCAGAGCTTCCAGGCAACCTGGAGCCCCCAGCTCTATTTGGAGTCCCCAAGCATCAGGATATAGCTGTTCAGCTTTTGGGTTGAGGGGAAGGATGGGGAGGCGTATCCCTGCTCCACGGCAAGGCTGGGCCCTGTGGGTATGAGGATACTGCTGAGCTTCCCATCCTGTATGCACTGGCCTGGCCCCCAACATAGGAGCCCCATCCCATTATAGTTTCCTCCTGAAGCTCTGGGGCTCAGTGGAGGCAAGTGACTTCTGTCCTCACCCTCTTCGGGCCCTGGAGGCTGGGTCACTACCTCCTACTCTAAGACCCTGGGTCTCCAGTCCTCACAGTCCCAGTGTAACACCCCAGGACCCTTATTTCCACCTTCCCCAACTCCCCTGGAGGAACCTGCACCCCTCCCGCCCTGCAGGGTCAGTCCTGCGGTCACAGATTCAGAAGCGTCCATCTGCAGCCACAGCCCCCATCTTCCCATGAGTTCTGTAACTCCAAATACCATGGTCATTCTTTGCCCTCCTTGGGTCTGCCTCTGCACCAAACCTTGCTTTTCCCACTCGGCTTGCTCATGCTTCTTCACCCCCACCCAGCTAAGATTCTGGGGTCCTTTGCTCCTCCTGAACTCCTACCAGCCTCCCGAATGCCTCACCCAACCAGACGAAACTGGAGCAGGCCCCGTACCTCTGGGTAGACAGGCCCTGGCCATCCCCACAGACCTGTGTCCACCCCCAGTCGTCCCCTCCTCTGACCCCCAGCACTGCCCACCAGGCTCTCTGACTTCCTTAGTCCGCTGTCTCTCCTGTTCTCCCCTCTGAAGGTCTCCAGCCTTCTCCATGGTCCTCTGACCTTTGACCTCCCCCTTCCCACCCACCTCCTTCCTCTCTGCTCAGTCATGAGAACACAGGAGCTATCAGATCAACTTCCTTAACCTCCCCACCCCCGAACTCCACCCCCCCAACCAACATTTGCCTCCCCCTGCTAAAGTGGGGAGGGGTCTCCCCCACCCAGGCGAATCCTTTGAACCCCTTGTCTGCGTTCTGACTCTCCCACTTCATGGACTCTGCTCTCTGTCCTCCTCCTCCAGTGTCCTTCTCTCCTGGTGCCTTCCCATTGCACTTACACAAGCTCCAGTCTCTCCCATTTTAAAAGAGTGAAAATAAATAAAAGCCTCTCTTGATCCCACATCTCATTCCAGCTCTGGGTCTGCTTCTCTTTGTTCCCCCGGTACCAAGCCTCTAGACCAAGCGGTCAGCCTGCCAACCCATTTCCTTACCCCCCAGCTGGGCTCCACCCCTCGGGATGGGGTTTCCCTTCACGAACTGAGACACCAATGGACGCTCTTCAACCCCACGGAGCTTGACCTCTCGGGAGGGTCTGACCCTGTGGATGCCCCCCAACTCCAGTCTCACTTGGCTCTGTCCTTACCTCCCTGGCCACTTGTCCTTGGGCAGCTCCCCTCCCCAGGGCCTATTTTCTCCACACGCTCCTGGGTTGATCCCACCCACGATTCTGGCTTCCATCACTGTTTTATGCTGGGGGCTCCTACTTCTGTCCCTCCAGCCCAGGCCTCTCTCCTGGCTTCTAGACCCAAAGCCAGCTTCCACAGGGCACCTCTGTTCACAAGTTCCACAGGTTCTTCAAACCCCACGTGTGCATCCAGCTCTACATGCTGTCCTCCTGCACGCCGGCCCCTCCTCATCTCCGTCTTGCCGGGTTGTTCAAAACCAGAAAGCCGGGCGCACATCCTGCCGGTTCCCTGTCCTCCCACCACACGCAGTTCTTCATCAGATCCTGATGAAGGTGCCTCCAAACTCTCTCTTAAAGGACCCACTTCCCTCCATGCCCGCTGCCAGCAGCCTGGTCCAAGCCGCCATCATCTCTCGCTGGACTCCCGCCACCGCCTCCTGAAGGCTCCTTCTCCAGAGCTCCAACGCAGCCTCACCATACAGCATGGGGACCGTTCAAAATCAGGAATCTGTGGTCCTGCTCTGCCCAGCTCTTCTGGTAACGTTTACCCACTGCGCTGGCTTCCAAGTTCCCGGCACCCGCTGACGTCAGGGCCCCGTACCTGGCCCACCTCATCTTTTCCGCTCTCTGCCCAAGAGGCAGGCTTTCCTCAGCTGTGTGCCGCCTCCCTTCACACCAGGTGACCTCAGCCTATGTGTCCCCTCACCTCTTACACACCTGGCCAACTCTAGCCCATCCTTCAGGCCCCCGTGAAATGCCACTTCTCTCTAAGCTCTGTTTGGGCCCCTACTGTCTCCTCCCATGGCCAAACTCCTCCCATCTTAACACTGCTCACCCTTCACTTGCTATTCCGTTTCATCGCTGTGTTCACTGCTTGACCCTTGACCCTGAGAGGTCAGAGCCTGGGCCCGTCTCATTCACCGTCTAACCCCAGTACCTAGCTAGCACAGTGCTAAGGTGTCAGCACCGAGTAGGTATTGGTTCATAAATGACCGAACGGCAACCCTCCCTGTCCTGCCCTTGAGCCCCTCCCTCCACTGACCTCTGACATCTGGGGGAAGAGGCTGATGGCCAGTGGCAGGGCCAGGCCAAAGGCTGCCAGGCACACAAGGCTTTGCACGGGGAGGAGCAGCCGGGGGCGCGCCTGCAGGAGAGCTGTCCTGTTGGGGAGAGAGAAGGGGGGCGCCCATGAGACCCGGAGACAGGGTGAGCTGGCCATTAACCACCATGCCGGGTCCCACTGGGTCTGAGGGCCAGGCCCAGCCCATAGCTAAGTAGCTGTGGAGGAATTCTGTCTTTGGGACCGTCCACCGATGGCAGCCCTCTCCCCAGGCCCTGCCCTGAAGGACGTTGCTGCTTAAATTCTCAACCATAAATCATAAATGAGCACCTGTGGGGCACCCACCCCACTGTGCGTCCAGCCCTGCGCAAAGAAGGCCACGTGTGGGGTAGACGATAGAGGAGGCTGTCGGCCCCTGCTCCTGTGCAGGGGGTGGGGGGCCCACGTGGGGACACAGCGGAGGAAGATGGGCCTTGAAGGCAGCACATATTGCAATAGTGAAAAAACCACACACGCATTCACGCACATGCACGCACAAGCATGCATACGCACGCGCGCACAGCCAGGAGAGGATGACCTCTTCTGAGTATGGGAACAGAACACACCCTGCTGACCACCTTGTCACCTTCGATCCAAGAGCCACAGTGACTTGCCCAAGGCCAAGACCAAGTCTGCGGGAGGCAGGCAGGGCTGCTCTGTGGGTTCCTCTGACTCCCTAAAAGTGCTATCACTGAGCTGCTCTGGCTCTTGCCTTAAGGACCCTTTGCCCGCTGCATCACCAGTTCACAGTTGGCACCCCTCCCCACGGTGAACAAAAGAGCTGGGATTCTTGGGCAGGAGAGGGGTACGAAAGCCTCCCTCCAGGGCCCTGGGTCCCCCAGCCCCATGACAAAACGGCCTCTCCAGACAGAGTGGAGGGCATAGCAGCTGGCGAGTCCACCTTCACTGCGTTGTCCATCAGAACATTTCGCTCTGTATAATCCACCAGTCATTCTACTTGGGGAGGCCTGAGGTGGCATGTGTCAGCAAGATGGATTATTTGCCAAGGGATGTTGGGTGGGTACACATGCTGCCCTGGGTAAGCGTCAACCTCCACCGGACTGAGACTGGCTCCTGGTGTGAAGAAGCTATAACCAGGGCTCTTGCCCCTCCCCTCCTGGAGCAGCGCTGCTGTGGCCACAGGCAGGGGAGAGGCTCTTCTGGGGGCAGCGCCTCAGTGTCGGGGCAGGCAAACCCCGCACCACCTTCACCTCCTGGCACATGAATCCCAAGAGCAGCTGGCTCTAAGGCGACAGCAAAACTGGGAGCAGCAGTTCTCAAACTTTAGTATCTAGGCAGTGGTTAAAAATGCAGACTCCCCCATGAGATCCTGATTCAGTTGGTACTACACCTGGGAACCTTCCATGAGTCTAAAACAGGTGATCCCCAGACCACACTTCTGGGAAACTCTGGCCCAGGATGTTCCTACTTAGGTACCAATAACAATCCAATTACTTGTAAATTCTATGCAAGTAAAAGACCTGGACACAGTAAGTGCTCAGTGAGGTGTGTTAGTATTGCTGTTGTTACTGCCCTTGTTACCAGCAGGAAGGAGGGAGGATCCTGGTGGCTGGGTTGTCCTCCAGCCCTTCCCACTGGCCCAGACTCCAAGATCTGTCCAGTTGTTGAATTAAGCCTGAACTGAGCTATTGGGGAGGAGAATTTCCACAGGATTAAGAACAGGGGGACAAAGGTGCCCAAATCAAACTCAAGCCCTTCTGGCATCCCCTCTGCCTTGGTCCAGTGCCCCCATCTTCTCCCTCTCTTCCAGGTGAGCCTTACCCCCCTCTTCCCCACGGACTCAGCCTGAGGCCTCCTGGGCTTCCATGGGAGTCATGGAGGGCTGGGATAAGGCTGAGATGGGTCCTGAGATGTTTTCAACTCAGATTAACTTCTCCAGAAGGACCAGAAGGTGGGCACTCTTGCTCCCGTGGCAGCACTGGGACCTCAGTCCCTGAGGGTGGCCAGAGCAGAGGGGAAGGGACAGGAGGGTGTGTGGTCCCTGGAGGCACAGCCCCCGAGGGAGGATCACGGGAGGGAGGTTCCCTCCCTGGCAGGTGAGGGGCAGGACATTGACTCATTCGGTGGGGACACTGGACAGACCCCTTCTACGTGGGGCTGCGACCTTGATTCCTCTCTCCGGGTGGCTGGCTGAAGTCCCCACTGTGAAAGGGATCCAGAAAGTCCCAGGCCTGTCCTCCCCACTCAGGAAGGAGGAAGGTTCAGACAGCAGCCAACAGGAGCCTCTGAAGTCCCAGCCCAGGCGGGAGAGTGAACACAGCAGGACAGGGGGAGGGGAGGAGGAGAGGGAAATGGCAGGGAGGAATTGGAAAGGCAGCTGGGGGAGTTAAAATATGCAGATGGAGAGATGTGCGAATGCCTGGGAGAGAGGAAAGACCCGGATCCCCGGGAATGAGGGAGGCTGGGGAGCGGCCTCAGGAGCTACCGTGGAGGGTGTGGCCTGAACCCTGACCAAGCTGAGACCCAGCCTGGGAGGGCAGAAAAGTCCAGGCCCGGGCCAGGGCCAGGGATGCACCCCCCACAGCTGCCTCCGAGTTGGGGGGCAGGGCTACTCTCCGGGCCCTGAGTCCAAAACCAGCTTCCTCCCCAGGACAGTGGAGCTGGAGTGGAGCCCTGGACCTGAGGGAAGGTTCGGTGGAGAGTGAGGGGTGGGGCGTACACCCCTCAGAGAGAGGCCCTGCTCGGCAGAGTGGAGGATTCTCGGCTCCTGACGGGAGACCCTTTTCCTTTCATCTCAGACACAGGGACACCTGAATATGCCGCCCACCTCTGCTATCCCAGCAGGAAAGCCAGGGTCCTCCCAGAGAGGAGAAACTGAGGCCGGGGCCAAGCCAGCCTCGCTGCCACACAACAGCTTGTCTCCCCATTGCCGTGCATTCCCTCAGCACTTGGAGCAGTTTTACTTTTGCGCTCCATTAATTTGCAAGCAGGCTGCTTTGTAAGTGTTCTTTTGTCTTTTTTCCCTGGCTGTCCTGACTCCCTCACCCAACCGGGGGCTCCCGAGGGTCGGGGGGAGGGCTGCCTCCCCTGTCAGCCTCCTCAACAGAGGCCCTTCCATTGGCACCCTGCATGGAAAGGCCGTGGGGCGCTCGGCAGGGGGGCCCCAGCCGAGAGCCAGGGGCCCGCTGGATGGTGCAAAGTGCCAAGCTCTAGTGGACAAGGTGGTGAGGGGGGCAGTGACATCATTCTCCAGGTGGGAAACTGACCAGCCCCCCCCCCCCGGACTCCTGCCAGGAGTCTCAGTTGGTGCCGGACCTGCCCTGCCCCCCACCTCACAGTCTGGCAGCTCCCACCCCCCCTGCCCCATGTATATGAGGTTAATTACGTCTTTGAGGGTGCAAACTGAGTCTTGTTCGTCTTGATATTCCTGGGGGAACCCAGGCTGGACTCCTTCTCCTCCTCAGAGACCCTCCCAAAAGCTTCAGGGAAGGACCAACTAAATACAAGGCTTCCAGGAGACCAATGGCTAACCCTCTTCTACCTACCCGAGGGGCTTCCTTTGACCCTGAGCTGAGCCAGATGCAGGGCACCCGCAGTCCAGGTTGATTCCAGGCTGGGACAGTCAGAACTAGAACAATCCCACCCCACCTCCCAAGCCTCCTAAAGCTAAGTTTAAGCCCCCAACCAATGGGACACTAACCGTCACTCCACTTTCTGCAAACCCAGCTCAGATGGCACCCAGAAGGCATCACAGACCTCATTTTTCCCCAGCAAATTCCAGGTTCAAGATTCAGTAGCCTTGAAGACAGAAGCCCTCCCTTCCTCATTTGCCCAGTGGTGTCCTTGTGTGCACTTGCAGTCGCTGGTATTTGGGGACAGCCTCAGTTCACCAGAGAGCGGCGTATACGAGGTTCAGGGGGACCAAAGGAATCGCTTCCCATGATTTATTTTTGCAACTTCCAGAGGAGATTAATATTCTTAAGTCTCAGTGTTCAACACGCGCCATCCCTTGCTCAGGTAGCCACGCCCACTATGCACCTCCCCCACTCTTCCAGGGGACGAAGAAATCATCCCCTCAGCTGGACACAGGGCCCCTTATCAGCAGGCCCAATGAGAGAGCGTGCTTTGCTTCTGTTGGGTTGGGCTCTTCAAGGTCCACGCAACAGGGTCACACCTTGCCCAGAAAGCCCTCCCTTGCCACCAAAATCCTGTCTTACTCTCAGTGCCAGCTGCAGCCCCTTTCCTCTGGACCAGCCCTCCCCTCAAGGTCACCCTGACCCTGTTCCCACACTGCCGGGTCCCACCTGCAGCTGACCTTTGTGTGGGTCCTGCCCTTATCAAAACACAGGCTTTCTGAGGCCAGTTCCCCAAATCTGCCCCTCTCCTGTCTCCATGCGGGGTCGATTCCAAAGACAGGCTGATTACGTGCTGTGACCCAAAAATCCAAGAAGCAGCCAGTGTGGTAGGAAGAGCCCAGTTTTGCAGCCGTATGCCTGGGCCCTGCCTGGCTCTGCCGTTTCCTAGTGTGTGACTGTAAGCAGATGATACAACCTCTCTTTGCCTTCCTTTCCTTGTCTGTAAAATGGGGACATCATGCTCACCTCTTTGCACTGTTGTGAAGGTTAAATGAGATCATTCATTCATTCAACAAACACTGAGCATCGCTATGTGCTAGGAACTCTGCTAGATGCTGTGCGGGGCAGTAAACAAAGGAATTGACCTGCCTCCATGGAGATGACATTCTAATGAAGCAGACAGATAGCATATAACTAGATAAAGAATCTCAGCTATCGATAAGTGCTGTGAGTAAAAATAAGGCAGTGTAGTGGGGGAAGAAGTCCTGGTGGCTGTAATCTCGATGGGGTGGTCAGGGAGGGCCTCGTTGCGGAGATGGCATTTGGGGGGGGACCCGGCTGGGAGAGGACTGGGATGCAGCCAGTGCTTAGCTGTTAAGTGTTAGCTGCTATTGTAATTTGTTTTGTGGGAATACGAAGGTCCCCAAATTGGGGAGAAGCCCCTGATCCAGAGCCCCAGAGGGAGTGCCCCCAAACTCATCCACTGCCTTGAGGTGCCCCTCCCAGGCTGCGCTCCCGGGAAGGAGAAAGCGATCACCTCTTCACTTTTATCTTCACCAGACCTCCAGGCCTTTGCTCATTTGGCTCCCCACACCTGGAACCCTTCCCTGCCCCTTGCCATCCTCCTAGATATTCCCCAACCCTCAGGGCCTGCCCAAACCATCCCTGCTTCCTCCCTCCTCTCTTCAGCCTCTCCTTCCAGCACCATTCCTGCCTTTGTGATTCAATTTCACACTCATTAATTAATAGAATCACTCCATCATTGCTCTTATTATTGTATCTCCTTATTTCTTTATGGTCAGGACAAATGTGTCCTCAGAACGTCCCTCTGAGGGCGGCAGGGAGGTTAGTACAATTATTGTCTAAATGAAGAAACTGAGGCTCAGTGAGGTGGTGAGTTGCCTCATGGCAGATGCCGGAAAGGGATGTGCTGGGCCCAAGTCTAGTCTTCCCACCATAGTCCTCAGACTCTCTTCACCACTGGTCCTGTGCTGTGCACTAATAGACCGCGTGCATGCGCACACACACACACACAACCTAGAACCGCCAGCTCCAGGGCAGGGCCAGCCATGTCCATCGGGACATCCCTCCTAGAACTTAGCACAGGGTCCTGAGCAGCCAAAGTCCATTAATTCTCACAGGATGATTCCAGCAGCCCTGCCAGGGAGAGTTTGAACAAACCAGGAACCTTGCCCTGGGCCAGCAGGTCCCCCTTCCCCCACCCTCTCCGCCACAGTGGCCTCTGTCCTGGGCCCCAACTCACTTCTCCAGCATGGACATGACGATCGGGGGTAGCACCAGGATGGGCATGGGGAGGACCACCCGCGTCAGCGCCGTCTCCAGCAGGGCCTGAGGGGCAAGCAGAGGCTGTGGTGAGCGGGGCGGGGGTGGACAGCCTCGGAGCAGCAGCCCTGGAGCCCCTAGGTGTGTGTACCACTGCTAAGTACATCTGGCTGAACGGAATAATTCATGGAATCCCTCACGAAGCCATATTCCAAAGAACAGAAAAAAGCCAAGCCACCCCCTCTTCCCATAGCAGATCCGCATCACCTGCCACATGTGGGGGAGTGGAGGCAACCCAGAAGCGGCCCCAACAAGGGGCCTGCGCCCAGGGAGGTGAACCGGGTGGCGGGGTACAGCGGCTGGGAGGAAACATATGGAGGACCTGAGATGTTCTAAAAACAAAGCAGGCACTGGAAGGGCCAGAACAAACAGCTGTGGCCTGCTGAGCCGCGTTGAGGCTCCTGGTGCCCAAGACGAGGGATTCTGGGATTTACTTTCTTTTCCCTTAAAGACAAAGATTTGGAGGATCTTGCCATTTCCTGGCTCTGGATGAGAGTCTTTCTTAATGACAAGAGGTCAGCTTTGTAAGTGGGGAAAGCTTCTGCTGAGTGTCTGCTGTCCCCATATGGGGTCTGCCTGGGGCCTTGCTCTAGGGGCTCCCTCAGGATTCCGGGGGGGGGGGGCGGCTGGTCAAGGCACAGCTCAGTGGCAGTTCTGCACCCTGATGGTCATTGTGATGAGTTCCTTTAACCCCACGGGCTCCCAGCCCTCAGAGAAGGCTCAAGGAATGCTTGTAACCCACGGGTCCCTGGAGTCCCAAATGGCAAGGGGCTGATATAGCCAGGAGAAGGGAAGCCCAGGGCTGCAGAAGAGCTTGGGGTTCCCTGCTGTTTGGACCACAAGGAGGAGTTATCACAGTTGGCCTCCCTCACAGCAAGTAGGGAAGAGGATAGAGCTGGATAGGAGGTTAGGGTGATGTAGGAAATTGAGGGCAAATCCCCTCTGTTGATGGGCTCAGGGCTAAACATTTCTCCCAGGAACTTGGGTTCTGCATGACCAGCCTCAGGAAGGCCTGGGAGAGGTCCCTCCAGTCTTCTGAACAGGTGTGGGGATGACAGGGGGCCCAGAGCCTGTGCAGGAAGCAGAGGATGCGGTGTTGGCACTGGCACCCCTGAGCCCCTTGCCCCTCACAAGCCTTGGACAGACACTTACTCTCCCTGAGATCAGTCAGTGGGGAGGGAAGGACCAGGATAAGAGAAGGGTCTTCCTACATCAGAGGCTTATGGAGAAGGCCTCAGTGACAGGGTGCGGTGGGGGGGCCATGTGGGAGCTCATAAGGGACAGGGCTGGGGCAGAGGGGACCCAGCACTTGGAGGCCAGAGCAGGACAGGCCACTAACTGCCATTAGGATGAAGGCTGGAAAGCACAGGGAGATATACAAGTGGACAGGAATTTTTTTTTTTTTTTAATTACAATTGCTAGATGGGTGAGGCTGGTGAAACCAGAAGTGAAAGAGGGCCTTCTTGTAACAAAACATTCTTCTCCAAACCACGCCCGTGGCTTCCTGCAAGCCCCAAATCCCTCCGCCTCAACCGCACTCACTCCCTAGTGACCATCACCTGCAGAAGTGCTTATTAGCACAAAACCACAAACCATCAGCTTCTATGCGTCCTCTTGTCACCCGGGAGGATATGAAGGCCCTAGGCCCTAGGTCCTGGGGAAGGGAAAGAAAGCTCTGGGGGGGCCTCCTCTGCCCTTACCAAGTAAGAGGTCAGAGAAAGCACGTCCAGAGGGGCTGGGACAAGAGATGGGGATGTTTCCCAGTAGTGGTGAGGCGGCTGGAGAGAAGCAAGGGTGTCTGGTGGGCAGGTGTGGCTGGGGCCAGACCTGAGGCCTGGGGCTCAAACCAATGGGGGGTGGGGGTGGGAGTGGGGTGACGAGGAGAGCTCAAGAGGGCAAGGCAAGGGCGCTGAGCACACAAGCCCCTGGGGAATGAAAGTGTCTAGGGAAAACCGACCACAGCCTCCCTACCAGCCCCCAAGTCCCCAGACGACCCACATGTCTGGCTGCGATCTTGGAGGAGCCCACGAGGTTGCCATCACCATCCAGGACGTCAATCCCCTCCTCCAGCTCGCCGTACCGCATCAGGACCACGTTGCAGATGTTGGCGCTGGCTGGAGAGAGAGGGTGGCAGGGAGCCGGCGTGAGGGGGGCGGATGGCATTCTACCCTGCGCAGATCACTGGGCTCCACCCGCACCAAGCAACAAAGGTTTTGAATAAATGCCACGTCTGTTCAAACAGTGGGCGAAGGTGTGGTTCTGCTGCCTATCAGCCTGGTGAAGGATTTGGGGGCCCTTGGGAACCTGGAGAGCAAAGGTGGAAAATAACCAGTGTTACGAAGGAAAGGGAAACTATTCAGGGCTTAGAGAGTGGCCAATGATCAAGGACGCTGCTTTCCTGTCCTCAGGCGCAGGCCCCACGGGCAGGCGAAGTGGATGCCCACCTGGGAGGGCTCTCGGGCTTGAAGACGCATCGCCCACACTGGTGCCTGATGCTCCACCATCAGCACCTCAGTCCCTTGGGCTGCCTTTCCGCGCATCCTCTTGAATTCCAGCCCCCCACGTTTAGCCCCTCGCTCCTCAGAATGAATCAAGTTCCCAGAGATTTGCTTCCCCGACAACAGGTGCCAGAGCAGGCAGGCACCTCAGTGCTAACCCGGCACCGCCCCCTCATCATATGGATGGAAAATTGAGGCTCAGAGATGGGGAGTGACTTATCTGAGGTCACACAACAAAGCGGGACAGAGCTGAAAGGCTACCGTGCCTCATCCTTCGGGTACCCAGGAGATGGAAGGGTTTGGGGCGGGGTGTGGTGGGGGTCAGGCACGGCTAAAGGCATACCTTCTACGTTCCTGCTCCACGTGCTTGGGTTTCCTCCTTTGGCCATGCCTCCCCATGTCAGCTGAGATCACGGGGACCTGGGCTGAGGGGAGGGCTCCTGGCTCCTTAGTTCAGCACTGTGTGTCAGAGTTTGGGTGGCCACCCATCAGCTGGTGACTGGCACAGGGAGCCTCTTTCAGCTCCTCCCCCCCGGGATCCACGTGGCTGGCCCTGGGCTCAGGGCCGGGTGTGGGTGCTGACCTCGCCTGAAATCCTCCGGCCCTGTTCCAGGATGGAAGTGGGGGGACTTGGGGGTGGTGGGAGGGTGGGGAGTTCGGGGGGTGACAAATTTGGAGCCTGCCTGCTCCACTCCTCCCCCAAAAGCGCCTTGCTGTGTTTAAAGTTTTAATTTTTGCTAATTAATGTCAATTAATTTTGTATAATGAGTGTTTAATTTTGGGGAGTGTGTGAGCCTGGGAGCGACTGCAGTTCTGGGCTGTGAAGGCTGATTAGCATCAACACCTGCTGCTTCCCCACTCCCTCCAGTGGGGGGGGGGGGACACCAGGGTTTGGGGAGCTGGAGGGCGGCAGGGCCTAGTGGGCAGGTGGAGGAGGACCACAGATGCTCCTGGTACCCAAGCCAACACTGGGGAGCAGAGCGGTCCAGGGCGCTTGCAGCTGGGGGACAGGATTCTGCAGGTGAGGGGTGGCTTGAGGCCCTGGGGGTCTCTGAGCCTCAATCTCCTGTTTCAGTCAAGTGGGGAGGTGGAATAAACAGAGAGGAAGACTGAGATACTCTGCAGTCTTTGGAGAAGAAAAGCAGGAGACCAAATACAGTTTCGAAATGTATTTACAGCACATATGCCATCTCTGAGTAGCTCGTGTTTCCACACGACACACAGGAGCAGTGGGAACCATGCGCAGACCTTTTCGGCATCAGTTCCTCCTGTCTCCACAGCAGGCGTGCTCTCCTGTCTTACACAGGGGCTCTCAACCGGGGCCATCTTTATGAGACATTTGGCAATATTTGGAGACGTTTTTGATGATCACAGCCTGAGGGACGGGGGGCTGCTACTGGCATCTAGTGTGATCTCTAGAGACCAAAGACGACTAAACATCCTACAATGCACAGGACAGCCCTCAGAACAAAGAATTTTCCAGCCCAATGTGTCAGTAGTGCTGACGTTGAAAAACCCTTGTCTTAACACACGTACAGACTGACAGTTAGGAAGGTGAATCTGAGGTAAAGGAAGAGAGAATGGGAGCCTGGGTTTCAGGCCAGCTGGGCTTAGGTTCCAGTCCTGACTCTGCACCTCCCCCTCCCCGCCCTCAGAGGTGAGCTCTTGACAGCCCCAGGGCCCCCAGAGTGGCCTTGGGAAGGGGCACCTGGCCTGGGTGTTAGTGACTCGCCCTCTAGTGGTGGCAGGAATGTACTACATCCATCGCACCCCTGGGACGGCCAGGCCCTCAGTACCCAGGAGACCCAATATTAGTCTCTCTTTGGAGAGAATATTGGGGTTTTCTGCCCTGAAAGGCATCAATCTCTGCCCTCTGAGAATCCTTTCCACCACCACCACCACCATTCCAGGAAAGGCAAGGCCACAGGAATGTCGTCCAGGGGAGGAGCAACTGCTTAAAGCCAGGAGCCAGTAGCTGACTCTGCAAACCCCACCCGCTGCCCAGCTTCCCAAGTGTAAAAGGAGGAGCTGCATTTGGTGTCTCCACGGGATCTCCGGGTGCTGTCTGAGCTTACAGGATCTCCAGGCAGAGGGAAGCCAGGGGCGGCTGAGGCATATCTAGCCTGACTGTGTGTGTGTGTGTGTGTATGTGATGGAGACAAAGACAGGAGAGAGCATGGTTTTCGAGGTGATGGAGCTGCCCCAGGCTCATGGTGGCATCTCGCCTGCTCTCTGAAATTTCCGAATGTGTGATGTGGCCTCAGAAGGACAGAGCAGGCCTTTGGTTCAAACACAAAACAGGGGGCTTCCCTGGTGGCGCAGTGGTCGAGAGTCCGCCTGCCGATGCAGGGGACACGGGTTCGTGCCCCGGTCTGGGAAGATCCCACATGCCGCGGAGCGGCTGGGCCTGTGAGCCATGGCCACTGAGCCTGCGCGTCCAGAGGCTGTGCTCCGCAATGGGAGAGGCCACAACAGTGAGAGGCCCGCGTACCGCAAAAACAAAACAAAACAAAACACAAAACCACTTGAGATGAAAGACAAAGCATGAAAGGAAGTGAAAACCCAGCCTCCCTCCCCTCCTGGATGCTTTTGGGGATGACAATGTCCCCTCTCATCTGAACTCCCTAGCTGGAAAGAAAGAGAAAACGCTGAAAGCCACCTCAGAAGATGACAACCCCAGGCTCCACCCTTGGAACACCCACAGTTCTAACTGCTTACACAGACAACACATGCCCTGCAATCTCTTCTGTTGACTGTGTACAGTGGTTATCCATTTATTAAGCACTTGCTGTATGCATCGGTTGCTAGACATCCCTGCCATTGAGCAATGAGAGTGCCAGCCTGTTTTAGTGATTTCATTTCCATGATCTCTTCCAGAACTTTCAGTTCCGCCGTATTGCTTTCAAACCCTCCCAGGTCCTTCTCATCTCACTCCTGGACAGTCCAACTCCAGAGACATAGACACTGAGAGACTAAGTAAATGAAAAGAGAGAGAGAGACCAAACATGGGCTATGGGTCTCCTTTCTAGCACACCAGCAAGATCCATTACCGACAATAGCAGCAGGTTAACTAAGCAGTCTGTTAGTGATAATGCTAAGAAAGCGGGCACATTTTCAACTCAGATTGAGTTCAAGACTCAAGCATAACTGATGTTGGAGCAGTGATGCTAGGAGATGTCAGTGGATGAGAGAGAGAGAGAGAGAGAAGGAGAGAGGGAGAGAAAGAGAGAGAGACAGAGATTGCTTCATGCTGATGGCAAACTCAGTGTCAAGGCCTGAGGAAAATATGCTCTTGCCTGCTGCAGATGCTCTCATCAGACACATCACGATGCAAAATCATGCAGATTGTGAAGAGCTAATGAAGCACCTGTGTGAAAAGTACAGTGTGGGGGGGAAGAAAGAGCAGTAGATAGAAAGACAAGTGTGCAAGTAAGTTCTCAAAAATAGGACTACAGGGGAGCTTACCCCTTGAACTAGCACCGGAACAGAGGCATAGATCAATGGAGTTAATAGTCCAGAAACACCCCCAGCTGTAGGGGAAATGAATTTGTGTTAATGCAGTTGTATCGACTTGCAGGGTAAGGGCCATTTAAATACGGGGTGGAGCAATGGGCTATTCATCTGGGAAAACCAAACACCATAACTCATCTGCTCTAAGAGGCATTTACGCATATTTTAACATTATAAAAATCACCATGTGCCTTACAATGCATGTTGCAGGGGGACCTTACCTGCTCTTCATCACAACTGTCTGTGCATGGGTGAACTTAGCCACGTGTAGAGGTATCTGTTCATGCAACTGTCACCTCAGCTGCCCACAGCAATCCACACAGAATTTGAACTTAAACTTAGATTCCTAATTGTTGCCTAAAACATCTTTTTAAAACTTACACTATAATGGAGCATGGACACGAAAAGTTATTGTACATGCAGAAGATCGTCTGCCAGATACCAGGCAATGCAATTAAAGGCAGCAGAAATTGCCAAACCATAGATAGCTACCCTAAAGAAATGCTTGCCCATATGCACAAAGAGACATTTACAAGGATGTTAATTATAGTACTGTTTGTAACAGCAAATAATTAGAAACAACCTAAATGTCCACCATTAGGGAACTCACGTGGGAAGATCGCCAAAACAAACTTATGTGAACAAAGTTATTGAGTATGTACAGGATCATTTACTGAACGTAAAACCCCACAACCGGTACACACACGTGTGTGCATAAATCCTTGGGTAATGTTCTAGAAGGGTCACACCTCACCGAGTAATCTTCTTGGGGAAGAGAACCAAATTTGGGAATTAGGGGTTATTGAAGAACTTCCACTTTTTTACCCTAAATTTTTCTATACTGTTTGCATTTTTACAATGAGAATGTAACCATGCTTTACTTGTCTAAAAGTTGAAAAGAAAATGCCAATCTTCTTGAGGTAGATCATAAAAATTTTAAAGCCAGGAGGGGTTGGTGTGACCTATTCATGGGTCCTACACTTAGGCATCTGTTTCAGAAACTTCCTGAAGAAGCTGATTAACTTCAAGAATATTTTTTTCCTTCAAGTAAAGAATAAAATGAAACCACAAGTATAACGAAGTAGGAAATGAAAATAATACCAATA